AAAAAAATTATATTTAACCATCTAAATTATATCAAATTATGTCTATATTATAAAATTAAAATTATTAAATAAAATTTTTTTAATATTAATAAACTTATTTCAAGTAGGGGTGGGCATTTGGGTGGTTAACCAAATGGTTACCCAGAAACCAAACCAAAAAAATGAATTTGATTTGGTTTTAATGGTTTTTAAGTTTTACTGTTTTGATTTTGATATCAATTGAATATTTTTTGGATTAGTTTCGGTTGAACTTTCACAAATCGAAAATAAAAAATGAGTCTTGTAAAACCCAAAATTTGGATAAATATGATAAAATATAAAATAAAGTAATATGATAAAATATAAAATAAAATATAATCTTTTATTGGAAGAAAATCGATTAATATTTATTTAGTAAAAATCAAAACCAAATCGATTTTATTGGTAACCAAACCAATTGGTTTATAAAAATTTTGGTTCGATTCGATTCTCAAAATTCAAGAAATTTTTTTTTTGGTTATTTTAAAACTAGTTTCGATTTCAACTGAAACTGGTTTTTGCCCACCCTTAATTTCAAGTGTTATATAATTTTATACAAATTATATTATAACAATAATTTTTTTTATATTGATTACACAATGAAAATCAAACATCTCTTATTCTTTAATTTCATTCCACCTATATGTCATGTGATTTAAATTTAAGATTTTTTAATTCTAAAGAAAAAAAATTATCATTAAATTATTTAAATAATTAATTATTAACAATAAGTTTAAAACAATAATAATAAGAGTAATGCAGCTGGAAGACTTTATCGAAAAAAAAAAGCAGCTGGAAGAAGTATGGTACAGGTGGCCCGCAATCGACCATATGTCGACGCGCCTGTTCTGGCAAGTGGAAACGGTACTTCGAAAAATGGTGTAGTAAAAAATTACAGGGAATTTGATTACTTTTTCCACCGTTTCAACTGTGTTTCTGCAATCAGAGAACTGGGAAATAAAAAGGATAAATAATTGTTGCCAGGCATTGATGGGCACTGGGCGATATAAGAGAATTTGGAAATTTTGCAATCAAATTTTTTGCGCATTTGGACATGTCAGATTTATTTTTATATATATATATATATATATATATCAGCAGATGCATTTTCGTTATTGATCAAATTCATTACTATATGTGATTTGTCATAAATCAAAGATCGATCCATCTGGGTATCCAATGTTATGGGACCCCAAAACCATAAATAAGCTTAAATTAGGCCACGTGTACGGTCAATGTTTTCCATAAGATTTTTGGTTTGATGCACCAAATGTCACCTCCATGACATCATTGGTGACTACATGGCAACTAGGGTGGTAGTGGTTGTAATTTTTACAGCTGTGTTCATGGATGGAGTGGGCAAGAGTGAGAGATAAAAGCAAGAAACTTTCACTTTTGGTACCAGCAAAGTGGGTGTTTGACACGTGTCCCCAAGCAAAGATTAAACGGAAAGGGGCATTATGTAAGACGAACGAGACTTAGGTTGTTCCTTTTAATGAAACACATAGGATGGGAGAGAAGGAAAAATCAAGGTAAAAAGGACGGGACCATTTGATGTACATAATTCTTTACTCCTCGTGAAAGTAGGGTTTTTTCTTTTTGCTTCTTCTTTTATGATTCAAATATATGATCGAGAGTTTCAAATTCTGAATAAATACACAAAGCCCTAGTGATCTATAATGATGCAAATGGAACTTGGAAATCAAATTAATAGGTTATGAAGAAATAAAAGTAGAGTAAGGAAGTTCTGGTACTGAAATAAGCTTCTTTAAAAAAAAAAAAAAGAAGAAGCTTTTCTCTCAAATATTGAAACTAAAGCGGATTAATGGAGAAAAAAGAAAGGGGTGTACAAAAGGAGGGAGTGAATGGGACTGTTCATTTTGAAAAGAAGAAGAACTGAAGATGCATATAATGCTTTCCATTTTCCAGGTCAATAAAGGAAAGAAAAGGTAATTCTTGATAAAAGTTAAAGATTCACACTAATCTATATGTGTAATTTGATGGTTCGATCAGTTCATTGTTAGGTTGTTTTGTCTTCTTTTGAGTTGTACTATTATGTAGCTGGACAAGGATTATTTTTGTGATATGGATTGAGTACTTTTTGTATTCATTTAAATAAAAACATACTTACTACTTGCTGATAAAATAGAAAATTCAAGCTAAAACGTTCTACCAAAAAAGAAAAGATGGAGTGAATGTCGAGTTAAAAGGTGAACAAAAAAGAATATGGATCCGTTCTCAAAACTCATAAAACGAAATGGAGTCGTGAAGCAAAAAATGCCCTTAAAAATTACAATGCAACGTAAGTAATTATTGATAGTCATATGAATTCATCTACGAAATGCAGTCATTGGGTCCCATAAAAAGCAGCCAATTAATCAGTCGACCAACTGAGAAAGTTGTAGACTTTAATGGGCTCAAGTCTTGTGCTTGGATTGGGCTGATCATCTCTTGGCCCAACATTCCCATGATGAAAGGGAGAGAGAGTTGGAGATCGGGTCATTCCCACCTCCAAAAGTAGTGGAGTTAGTCAAAATTACAAAGAGTAGCGACAACAGCAGCAATGATGAATCCAACCGGACCAAAAATAAATTATTTTTGGTTCAAACTGTTAGCCTTTTCCTTAATTTTCCTTAAATCCACCTTCAACATAAAACAAACCCATGCAACATCAACTGCAGAGTTTGTCACACCTCACATGCCTGCCGGGCCCCTCTAGCCTTTGAGGTGCCTCAACATGCCTTATTTTTTCTTTTTTGTTTCGTCATTTTTGGTTCCACCATCATTGCCTTCAAATTCTTCAACATCATTAATTTCTTTAAAATAAAGCTTTTTCCACCCCGGAAATCCTCCATATCCCTCCCCATATATGCTTCTTTTAGTGCCCTCCACCATCTATCTTTCTTTCTTCGCTATCTTTCTCGACCGGCTACGTACCACTTCACAACCTTGCATGACGGCAAGAACACTATTTCTCACCGGATAACAGTACTATCCATTATTTAACCTTGCCTAATATAAAGAACTGATTCAAGCGTGCTTAAGCCCGTCATACTTGTGAATTTTCTAGAAACCAATGATCAAGATAAGGTTTTACAGCGGAGACCACGGCGATGGAGAGGCATTCGAATTAATTGGGTGTTGAAGAATCGACTGTCTGGTCTTCCCACCACACCAATTAAGGACTATATCCACTTCATTTCAACAATTAATCTAAACACCTTCTAATGGAAGGTCTAGTTAGCCTCGAATATTTAAAAGCTAGAAAAGGATATGAGAAAATGAGTTAATCCTCTCTACAATTGTATATCATTCTTCAACCCAATGAAAGGCACGGCATTTGGTTAATTGGCTGGGCGGATATGCAAAATTTCGGCAGCAATAATGTTGATCATTCCAAGAGAAGTGGGCAATGACGCCATGCATCTTTTATTATAGTATACCATTTTCTCCTTGTCCCATTTCACTTGTCTATCAGTAGTCACCGCTCACCATGACTATGGTCTATGGGTAGTTAAATCATTGTGGTCCCTATAATTTACCTCCAGTATCCGCCAAACTAAATTTGGTCCGATGCTAATGCATTTCTAAGTAAAATCATGTTTCTAAAGCATCCAATAATGCAATTACTTGAAAAGATAGTCCACCAACAAAGATACGTGCCTATTCTCCTTTTTTCTTTCTTTTTTCTTTTTTTAAGAAAATGAATTTTAATCCTCTCTTCAAAAGTTACAAAACCAAAATTAACCATGTGCATGTCTATGTACCTGTTAAACATCATATTTTGAGAAGATTGCTTCCATTCTGTTAAAATCTTACCGTATTTAGTGTGTTTCTTAAATACTTTAATTTGTTTTTCTAGAGCCATACTCATTAAGAACTACTCCATCCATTCAATCATATTCAATCATATTAGTACATGATTTTAGTACATATTTTTTTAATGAGCCATACTCATTAAGCCCTGCTCCAGCCGATTAATACTTTTTAGAATTTTTATTTTTAGTTAATATCTTTCAAATTTTGAAACTTGTAAAAAAAAACCTTAAAAATTAATGACTAAACCCTTTATTTGCACTCTAATTTGCATGTGACTTGGTCATTAATTTTGAATTTTTTACAAGTTTGAAATTATAAATGATGTAGATTGAAAGTGAAAATCCCTGATATAGTGACCACAAAAAACAATATTGTACTTTTTTTACTTCAAAATAACTATTATTTTATTAAATTTTAATTTGTCATAAATTAACTATTGTTTTTCCATTTTTCAAAATAGATAAATATTTTTTTTCTACTTTAATTTTATCATTAATTATTGAATTTAATCAATCATCTAATTACAAAAAAATCTTTTTTTTCTTTTTTAAAGATATTATAGATAAATATAAATATTGTTCTCGAATCTTTAATTTGGAAATTTTTTTTAAATAGGTATTTTGGAATAAATGAAGTAATATATAAGGTGCAAATAGAGGATTTTTATCGAAAAAATTAACTAAATTAAATAAAAAAATACTTCTTTTGTTCAACTTTAGTTGACCTAATTTTTTATTTTGGGTATTCAAATTTAGTTCCTCATTTTTTTAGAATGTCATTTAATGCATGCGTTTATTTCTATTTTACCTGTTATAAAAGATAATTATTCCCTCTGTTTATTTAGTAAACCTAATTTAACTTTTGACTTTTTATATATAAATTTTAAATAAAAATTTAACAACTAAAATGAACAACAATTGAATTATATGATATTCTTGTCAAATATTTTTATTTGATCAAAAAAATCTTCAATAATCATTTATATAACATGTTTAATTTTTATCCAAAATTCATATTTAAAAAATCAAAAAATCAAATTAAATCTACTAAAAAACAGAATAAATATAATATATATTAAATAAAAAGTCTTATTTAAATAATATTCAATTAAAGATAAATATAAAATTTTAACAAGAAATTATTATATTTTTATTTTATTAAAAAAATTAAATTTATCTTAAAAATAAACCGAGAAAATAATTATTGTTACATATATATTCTCATCTTCACAATAATTACTAATAACAAATTTGATTGATACATAGTATCTAACATCAAATACTAAGAACAAGTATCTCAATGGGAATTCATGTGTCTTATTATTATTATTTTAAATATGGAGAATCGTGAAAAATGAGAGATTTTTCTTTAGTTGTTGATAAAAATCGAATTTTTAATTAATTATATTTAAACATTAAGATATAAAAATGAATCATAAGATTCAAAAATTAATTTACATCTTAATTATACTAAGAATTTATATATACACTCGCTCAAGACTCAAAGATTTGACAGGAAAGAGGATAAAATTTATACTCCCACAATTTTTGTTGCGATCGTGCGCCTTTCCCATGATATTTGTCATCATTAGGTTAGACACTAATTAAAGATCACACAAAGGAGTTGACAATTTCGATGTTAATGGCATCCTAGTGTTTGACAACAGCCATGTGTCGTAGCACCTATCTTATTCACGCAGTTCAAAGGGCACGAACTTAATTTGTCGGGGAAACTCAGCAGTTCCACCAACATTTAACTGTTAAAAAGATGTTCCCCCACATCCTATGCTTTTTTTTTTTTTTGCTTTAATGAACACCCCACATCCTATACCTCTAATGTTTTTTTGGTATTAACCTTATGATGTATTGTAATTATATTAAATTTTGACTAATTTAAAATCAAATCATATCGAATTCCATTAAAAAAATTCTCTTTCGGTATTTATTTCTTCATTTATAAAAATTAAAGTCAAAATCTTATTTAAAAGAAATCAAATTCATTTCACTCAAATTAATAAATCGTTGTTATGCACCTCTAATGTTTGCTTTGGACTCTCCAAATCCTTGAGTTGAGACTTCGCTAGACATAATTCTAGACAAAGAAAAGTTTTGAATGCATTGAATTATATAATAATATATCTGTTAAATGAAAATTAAATTCTCTATTATTAGAAGCTTTTTTTCATTTAATAAT